TTGATTTTTTTTTTTTTTTTTTTTTGAGTTTTTGCTATATGGCATCATGCACTTGCCAGAAAGACAGAGAGACAGACAGAAAGCAAGAAACCACCCCCAAGGGAGAATGGTCACACCACAATCCCTTACCCTCCATTCTCCTCTCGGGATCTTGGGCACGCATGCACATGCACCTGGCATGAGTTTAAGCCACCGAGTCTGGTACTCAAACCATGGTCGACCACATGGGAGTCAGTGACATAGCCATTATGCCATCTGTTGGTCCCCATCAGGCACTTTTTCTAAGAAAAACAAAATGCTTTTTCAATTTTTATCTTTCTTTCTTTCTTCTCTCCTTGCCTTTCGCAACTTAACTACTTATAACTTTCTATTTAAAATAGTTTGAGGGCTTAGCTGTACTGTAAAAGTTTTTTATGCTCTTTCATATTTTTAATTTTTTGGTACTTTTATAATTACAGTGATTGATTAAGCTCCCCTTCAAAGCAGTTGAAGGACTTTGCTAAATTAGTTTAGTACTTCTCTTGTTTCAAATGTATGCCCTTTTCTTTATATTGAAAACTGTTCCAATAACCTTGAAGCCATGTCATTTCATGCCACGTTAAACTCGTGCTTATGCTAAACATGGAAATAAAGTTAAACTCTTGTTATCAAATTGAGCATGTCTGGTTAAGTATAACACTTAAAGCTGGGGAGAGGGAACTTCTGAGCATCTAATATTTGCAATGTTTTGTTGTTTGTTTTCAAAAAATGTTTGGTAGGGCATAGCTGTGTTAACATGGATTGCACCTCTATGTTCTGAGCACAGTCTTCCGAGTGATTGGACAGAGATTTCTTTCCTTAGAATGACAAACTTCAAATCCTTTGCTGAATCCAAGGACATAGAGACTGGCTGGCCTAGCGAGGAGCAGATGCAAAATACCCTCAGGACTGCCCCCAAATCTCCTATTCTGCCTCTATTTACAGGGAGATAAAGACATAGTCAGAAAATAAATAATATCATTATGACTTCGTTTTTTGCTCATTTAAGTGACTATTTCATTTAGCAGTGGAAGTTAAGGGACTGGTTTGAAAACCCAGCAGCTATAGTAGGGTAATATTTTTTGGCCAGTAAACACGTGGCTGGCTAAAAATTCTTTATGAAAAAGCACACACTGCATTGGTTTCCTGACAGCAATGCTAAGACTAAATCATATTTCTAACTAACACTGAAGATTTGTGGTTATAGTTGCCTGGAAATAATTATGGCAATAAAAATCATGCACTCTGCTTAGATGGTAAATGATTTTAATTTTGATAAAAAGATTTAAATTCACTGACTAATAGCTGGATTTTATAAGGACAGAGTCTGTAACATGATATACATTGTTGTTTAGATTCTTAAGAAAAAAATAGAATATTCATCTCAAACCTTCTCCAGAGAAGGTAACTAAATTTGTTTCAAATTCTATAATTTAATTGTGTTTTTTTTGTGCCTAAAATAATAGCCCTTCTTCATATAATCCCAGGAAATATTGCGTAACTATTATGTTATGCCAAAAAAAATACAGAGAGAGAGAGAGAATAAACAAAACACAAACAAGTCATGTAATAAAAAACCTTACTGGTAATTTAAGACACACACACACACACACACACACACACACACACACACACACACACAGATCCTTTAAAATACATGACAGATGGAGGCAGAAAAGGCAGATGGTATATGAATAATAATAATAAGTAAACATATTATGGTGAGCTTTTCTTTCTGGAAAATTCTGTCAATACGTGACTTTTGGGACTTTTTGTGTCTTCCATTTGCCAGCTGGAGTGATATGGTTCCTGCCTGAGCGGCTTCTCTTCGCTGGAGGCTGCTCAGCAATAAATTCGTGTGGAATAATAGCATGTGATCATTCTAGTTAGAGCAGTTAATAACTGGTTAAGCGACATTCCCCTCAAATGGCTGTTTTCATCGCCCCAAAGCCCTCTCTTTCCCCCATCCCGTTCCTCCCAGCCTTCAGCAATGCCCCAACTTCCTCCTCCGATGGCGCTGCTAGCCCCCTGCAAACACCGCAATCCGACAACTGTATTGTCCCCTCAAACACTGCGTGCTCTGATCCGCTCAGGCCAGACACATTGGACCGTTGAAGGGGGAAAGCAAATTGAAAAAAACATAAATGTTCCTGCTCTCCCGAAGGGAAGCCTAGACGGAGCAGCGGAGCCCGGCGCCTTCTGCGGGCTGCCCGGCCCGAGCTCCCTGCAGGGAGCTGTCCAGCGCGCAGAGAGTTAAAGGCATCATCGCAGCCATTAGAGGGAAAAGTTGCGGCGCGGCAGCCGGGCGAAGTCCTCCAGCCCGCCCCTCTTGCCCACTCCCCACTTCCCGAGCTGGCTCGGTGTTTAGGGAGGGCAGTGATCACGCAAGCCGGAGCGGCGCCTGACGTTGGACGAGCTGCCAGGTATCTGAAAGCAGGCAGCCGAGCGGCGGCGACTTCCCAGCGTGTCAAGCTTGCGTCTGGACGCGAAGCCTCACGGAATCCAAGCCCGCTGGTTTTCACCTTTGCGAATTGCAGTCTCTTCTCCGAAGCCAGTCCTAGCCAGCAAGCAGCGGCATGTTTGCCCTGTCGCGCCCGGAGCACTGAGACAGAGCCTTCAGATCCGCTCGCATTCTTTTCTTTGGGGGCTTTTTGGCTGTTGGCTACACTGATGTGACCCCCCCCTTTTGGAATGATGGGGATCTTTTTGGCATATGTTGGATTTGTTTTCTTTTCTGTTTTATACGTACAACAAGGGCTTTCTTCTCAAGGTAAGTCTGTGCTCAATGGCAAATAGGCATCTGCTTGTGGTGTGTGTGTGTGTGTGTGTGTGTGCACGCGTGTGTCCCCCACATTCAGAAAAGAGACAGGCAGATGTTGTGTGGTTCCTAGCAAGTAACGGTGGGTTTACGTTGCATGAATAGGGTTCTGTTTGGCTTTTTTTTTCTTTAAAGTTCATTAAAGTGTCGGCAAAGAGGTATAAGAGAAAAATCTAGTGGGGACCTGAGACGTGGGCTCCCCAGTAAGCACAAACACAGGGTGTGTGTGTGTGTGTGTGTGTGTGCATTCTATCTGTGTGCAAGCACACGGCAACCACTCATGCATACATAATAATCACAAACAAACACAGGGCTGGATATGGAGACTTTCCACTGCCAGTCCCCCTTCCCCATGTAGACAGACTGGGTTTAGAGTTTCCCTTCTCTGGGTCCCTGTGACTTGGTTTGCATGTGTGCTTATCAAAGGACAGACTCCTCTGAGGACCCATAAACAGGCACGACTTGCATTCCAAGCAGCAGCAGCCTGCTGAATCCAGTCGTTCAGGACTTCCTTCGCAGGCTGCCGCGGCCGTTTCAGCACCACGAACAGATCACAGCTCCGCTGCCAGAGACTGCATCGCTTCTGCAAACAGAAATGCCTCCTTCCAGCCTGAACTGAAAAGTCCTTTTCAGATCAGAGTGTCTCCTGAATAGCTGTCGTTCTCTTCATGTAGAAATACAGTTGCATTTCACTAGAGATTATTTGGGGATTTTTTAAATTATGAAACAAGACACTTAGGGCGTCTTTCTTCTGGGGGATGGGGGGGAGGGGTCACGTCCACCTAAGTCATTCCTGCAATCCCCTCAACCCTCCTCTACCCAGACGTGCACTGTGGCTGCGAATTGCCATCAGCCACAAATCTTTTCAAGATTACTTTTAGGGAACCATCCGCTCTTTGCAAAGTGCCTCTTAGGCGATCTAAGAACAACCATGTTGTTAGCGGCATTCTGTGTTCAAGGAATGCCTTTAGGAGCAAAGAAACATTCTTATTTGTATGAGTTTCCGCGCAGCTCTAGGACTCTCACAAAGATGAGAAGGTTGGAAACATTTCTATGCTGACTGCACAGTACTCTTCCACCCTAACAATGCCTGGATGTGTGCAGTGCTGCCTCCTAAGCCGTGTGGCAGTTTACAATACCACGGCTCGGTGGGAACAAATAAAGGTTAATCTGGAGAGGACAGATGCACGGCTGAGAAAGAGCGCGCCTCGCTCCGCTCTCGTTGCTCATCACTGTTCTGAAACATCAGGAATGTGCACTTTGACAGATAATCATGAGCCACTCTGTGCCGTGACACGCTTGGTTAGTCGGAGGGTGTTTAGAAACTTAGAGGCGAGAGGCTCTCCTCATCTATCACCTTGACATGTCTAAATTGGACCCCACTGAGTACCTCAGTAAGTTTTGTGGAATGCTGCAATCTGACGAAAAGGTGTTTGCCTCTAACCGCGGGGAGCTCGGCTTACAGAGTTATTGGCAAGTGTGGTAACCTTTCCATTATCCGTGCTTGATCAACAACAGAGCGATTTAGGCATGACACCAAAGATAAGGTGGGAAAGAGGCACAGGAAGTGGGGACGGGGAGCCAGGCACAGCTGGGGCTGTCATAGAGGGCATTTTGGGCTGTTTTTTTCAAGTCCAAGTGAAAACGTAGCCAGCTCCCAGAGAAAGAGACGCTGGCAAGAGTGGTGTAGATAGTCCAAAAGGATATGTTTCTGTTTTGCAGCAAAATTTACCGAGTTTCCGCGGAACGTAACAGCGACCGAGGGCCAAAATGTGGAGATGTCCTGCGCTTTCCAGAGCGGCTCCGCCTCGGTGTACCTGGAGATCCAGTGGTGGTTCCTGCGGGGCCCTGAAGACCTGGAGCCCGGCGCCGAGGTGGCTGGCTCACAGGTAGCAGGGGTCCTGTAGCCCGCAAAGCCCCGACGTCTGTCCACTCTCCCCCCTGTTGTGGGTGCCAGCCAGGGGCGAGGGCCCAAGATAGTGCCTGGGCACCCCCAGAGACCCGCCCGGCTTTGGGGAGACAGCGACGCCCACGGGTGCCAGGCAGTGGGCTGGAATTTGTCCTGGTGACATTACGTCCAAACCAAGGAGGATGTCGTGTTGCAGAGTCTCTCCCGATTACAACTAGGAGTAGCCTCCTCCTCTTGGGATTGGTTATTATGAAGACGTCCATGGTGGCGTGACCATGCTGATCCACCCAGGTCGTTCGCTGTCCCCTCTCTGGTCCAGGATGGTGAGGTCTAGGGGAGGGGGGTGGGAATCCTGCCTGGGTCCCTATCCCCGGCCCCACTGCTCCTTCTGCATCAGTTCCTCTCACGTCTGCCTTTAACAGAGATAGATGAGACTGGGGAGAGAGACACAGAGAAAGAATCAGACTAGGGAAGGGAGCCAGAGACAGGGGGAGGAGGGAAGGAAAAAAGGGGAGGAGGGGGCCGGGGAGCGACTTCAGCTGGGACTGGAGAGCCATCGGGTGAGAAGCGAGAGAGGGAAGGGAGGAGAACCGGCAGGGGTGAAGAAAGGAAGAGCAGAGGAAAAGGGGGGAGAGGGTCAGAGTGGAGAAGGGTCGAGTTAAGCAAAGGGGAGGCGAACGCGTGGAGCGAGCAGAAGGAAATCTGCGGAAGAGATCCCGGGGACGCGACGACTGCGCGGACAAGAACATGAAACGTGCCCAAAAAACTTCCGCCCACACTGGTGTCCCCTCCCACCTCTGTGTCTGCAGCTACCCTTGCGGGAACCCGCGGTCCGGGACGCAGCCCGCCTAGTCGGCGCAGCGTCCTTGCGCGGCTGGTGGGTGGCGCGGGCAGGCGGTCCTTGCACGCGCGCTAGGGACGGGACGGGCATGGGGCAGCGCTTCTCTTTCTCGTCCCTAAGTCACCGCAATTGCAGTGTTTCAAGCCAACTACAAAGGCCTGGGTCTCGCCTAGCAGGCTTGGCCCCGCGGTGCTGCCGGAGCAGGGCTCCGAGCGTCCCGGCGCGAGTTTGAGCATTTGCATCCTTGTCCGGCAGGTGGAGCTCTTACCCGACAGAGACCCGGACAACGACGGGACCAAGATCAGTGTGAGTGTCACAGGGCCAGGCGACAGGGGGCGCGTGCCTTAGCAGCTAGGCAGTCCGGGGTGAACGTTAGTAAATGGGTTTGAAATTTAAAAGCCTTTTAATTTATTGTCTCTGACAAAAGTATTTTTGCAAACGCAGGACGAGAGCCAGTGGTCTCTTTCTTCATTAGAAACACACACACACACACACTGGAGCGAATTTAGAGTCCATAAATAAAATTCTATATTTTAATCGTGTAAATGCTGAAAGAACTAGAAAACTCTTCTTTTCCAAAAAGGATGTGTTGACACATTTTTGCTATTGCTGCTCTTTATAACAGTTACATAAATGTAAGGTAAAAATTACACTACAATGCTAATATCTATTCAGAATTAGGGAAATAAAAATCCTTTAATAGAAAGTAAAATATTAACGTATTAGATTCTTCCTTAGGAGATAAAAGAAAGGAAAGCAACCAACAGAATGTTGAAATTGTAATGAAATAATCAACTCGATTTTAAATGACATTCACAGCACATGAAATGTATTTCTTATTCAATTAGGTGTTCAGATTCATATAAATAGAAAGGCAAACGCCAATATAAATATAAAATCATAGAGAAGGTTGATCTATTGAAAACATAAGGATGTTATATTCTACTCTATTATTGCTTTTAATAATTGGGTGTAAAATTAGAAAAAATAAATCTGAAATTTTCTTACCATACCTCTAATGAACCCACATAGAATCACTTTATACTAATAATACTGCTTACCTGACAAATAGTGACAAGTCTTCATTAGCGAAATGAAATAGTTACAAAAAACAAAAAAAGAAGTCTGCTAAGCATAAACATTTTATTACTCATTTTTGGGAACCTAAAAATCCAATGACTGACATCTAAAAAGAAAAATTTATTTTAAATGCTCTTCACATAGCATAAAGTGGCAAAAGGTTGAGGTTAACCATAACTGAAACTGTGAAAATATATTGTCCACCCATGGACTCAATTTCTGTCATCTAAATGTGTAATCTCAAAATGGAGGATACATCAAATGAAACAAAACCGTAACCCTGGAACTCCAATTAATAACCCATCTAATCACTCACGTTTTAGAATACTTTAATTTCTACTACATATTTCAGGAGCTATTTTTGCATACAGAGCTAGAAAAGTTTTAATAATAAAAGCAATTAACACAGTTTTTCTCAAATATTTTGTTTTGACATACATAGTTAATTAGATAGATGGCTTGTTGGTTTCCACCCCTGCCTTTATCATCGAAATACTAGAAACAAAAATAGCCTCACCTACCCTGGCCCTCAGAGACATACAATAACAAACATCACACATACACACACACACACACACACACACACACACACACGCACCTGTCCATAATATCATCTGTGTCAATAGCTCATCAGATTCAGTGAATCACAAAGAGTCCTAGATTCGAACTGAGGTAGAAATCAGTTTGTTCCCCATTCACCCTCTATGACCTTGATCTTGTATCCTCACCCCAGAGAGAATCCCCAGAAGAGCTTGCCTGAAATCCTAATGTAAGCACCACCCCCTAAAGATGCAGACGTCCTGTGTCTGCATTAATCCAAGTGGGGGTATTATTCATTGTTCCCCCCATGTGGCTTGAATGGACAGTCACTGATCCAAGTCACCTAAGCCTCAGTTTACTCAACTATAAAATCAAATATAGTAATAATATAAATTTCTAACTACCTCAAACTTTATTAGGAGACCTAACCCAAAATATATGTGAAACTATTATTTTATAATACTAGCATATTGATATGCAATTTTATATACACATCATACTTACGGTTGTGATTCAAATGTTCAGACTATTTGTATACACACCTCTATATGTAAAAAACAAATGAATGCTTGTCCAGTTTTTCTTAATTACCTGTGACCATTTGAAAATGCAATGAGTGAGAACAGAATAAACAACTTTCTACCTCCTTCCCTTCCTTGGCTGTCTTCCAAAACCAACCAAATTCTGATTTCCTGAATATCTTATGAAAACTATCAGTCTGTCAATCACAGATGACATATAGCAAAAGTTATCTTCTACTAAGGATAGTCATACATAGGTAATACATATAGAGGCAGACGTAATATGGAATCCTTTTTTAAATCTAATATTTTGTATATTAGACATATGATCCTGCTGTTAACCTGAAATAAAAATTATTAGAAGAAATAAGAAAAACAATTTCAATTTTGGAAATCAAGCCAGTGTTTAATAGATGGCATCCCAAGTTCTTACAGTATAAAATACATACAATGGGGACCAGTAGCTGGCGTAATGGCTATGTTGCTGGACTTCCATGTAGTCGACCATGATTCGGGTCCTGGACCCGGTGGCTTAAACTCATGCTGGGTGTGTGTGCGTGCGTGCCCAAGATCCCTAGATGGGAATGGAGGAGAAGGGATTGTAGGATGTCTTTCTGTTGAGCCCATGTGCCCAATAGCAGAAAAACCCTTCCAATAAATAAATAAATAAATAAAATACATACAATGGCATATTCTCTGAGCCATAAAACTCCAGGTGATATCAGTTTGCAGCCTGAGCCCAGCTATCCCATGACTAGACACAAGATTACAATAAGAATTTAATAAAATATTTAATATCCATGTATCTATTTTAATAGTTATCCCAATGTGGGGATAAAAGTAGATCCACATTGAAACTGTTATATCCAACAAAATCTTTGCAACCTCTCAGAGTTGAGGGGGGTTAGTTTAGAGCCTGTGGTGGAGAAAAGAGGTTGCAGAGACTGGAGAGTTGGCCCGGCTGGTCTGGATTTCCTTCAGTTGATTGACCAGATGGACTGGACTTCCATGTAGTCGACCATGATTCGGGTCCTGGACCCGGTGGCTTAAACTCATGCTGGGTGTGTGTGCGTGCGTGCCCAAGATCCCTAGATGGGAATGGAGGAGAAGGGATTGTAGGATGTCTTTCTGTTGAGCCCATGTGCCCAATAGCAGAAAAACCCTTCCAATAAATAAATAAATAAATAAAATACATACAATGGCATATTCTCTGAGCCATAAAACTCCAGGTGATATCAGTTTGCAGCCTGAGCCCAGCTATCCCATGACTAGACACAAGATTACAATAAGAATTTAATAAAATATTTAATATCCATGTATCTATTTTAATAGTTATCCCAATGTGGGGATAAAAGTAGATCCACATTGAAACTGTTATATCCAACAAAATCTTTGCAACCTCTCAGAGTTGAGGGGGGTTAGTTTAGAGCCTGTGGTGGAGAAAAGAGGTTGCAGAGACTGGAGAGTTGGCCCGGCTGGTCTGGATTTCCTTCAGTTGATTGACCAGATGGAAGCCAGTCTCAAGATGAGAAAATGACAGATGCTAGTGGGACCAAGTGATGAGGTGTGCATGGTTCAGGAAATCTGGCACAGGCTGGACTGAGCTAAATAGCTCCTGTTCCGAGAATCCAGTTGTTAATAGAATAGGATGAGTAAGACCTTCAGATCTGACATTCAGGAAATAAAAAAGCTAGGAGACTATTAAGACTCAAATTTGTCAGCCTTAGCCAGGTCGGGATAACGAATGGGAACGCCATCATTGAAAGCAGCCCTTGACTTTTTTTTTTTTTTTTTTCCTGCAATATTTCAGACAGTGAAAGTCCAGGGCAACGACATCTCCCACAAGCTTCAGATTTCCAAAGTGAGGAAAAAGGATGAAGGCCTGTATGAATGCAGGGTGACCGATGCCAACTACGGCGAGCTGCAAGAACACAAGGCTCAGGCCTACCTGAAAGTCAATGCCAACAGCCATGCTCGCAGGATGCAGGCGTTCGAAGCCTCGCCCATGTGGTTGCAGGACGCAAAGCCTCGCAAGAACGTCTCGGCAGCCGCCCCTAGCAGCATGCACAGCAATGCCAACCAACGAACGCACTCCACCTCCAGCCCTCAAGCCGTAGCCAAAATCCCCAAACAAAGTCCACAATCAGGTATGGAAACCCATTTTGAGCCTTTCGTTTTAACACTCACAACCCTTCCCCAGAAGGCCAGCCATAGAGTAGGCAGGTGCATACATGTACATGACAGTTTTGAAAATTGGAGACCTAGTTCAGTTGGAATGCGGACGAGAGAGGAGACACAGAGCCTGAGGCTGAGGGGCTCAGAGATGCGTGTTTCCCCTCGGTCCCTGGTCGTGTTTCCGACCCAGGGGAGCTGAGAGCTGGACTCTTTTTCTTTCTGTATTTACACGTTACGAGAACAATAAACCATGTAATGTCAGTTACATTATAAATGCATGTTCATTTTCTCTACAGATTTATGTATCGATAATGACCCAATTTAAGAGGCTTTCACTGAATCAAAATGTAAATGAAAGCGACGCACCATATCATCCACGTTTGCAGCGACCCATAGCTTTATGCAGGGCTATGCTCCAAGGGCTTTTGATTTTGAAGGAGAAACTTCAGCTGCCAGTGATGAAAGTGATGATGATAATGGGAGGAAGTGAGGGAGGACGAAAGGCAATAAGTGGTGCAGAGATAAGGCAACTCCTGTAAATGCGCCTTCCTTGCCAATTTAGAAGCTTAGTCACACATTTCCTAAGGCAGCTGTGCAAGTTAAAGCTGTTCTGAATAGCATTAATTTATGCAATCACTCAGCCAATGGAAATGCATTGAAGTTTTAACCTTGATGGAGGCTAAACGCCTGTTGGAATGAGCAGAACCCTATAAGACTCCAAGGCTCTCCTGGTTCTCTCCACGACCTGACGTAATCTCATAGGGTGAAGGGAGCATGAGGTTTCTTTTATCCTTTGTTAAGTTTTGCCGTGTTATTGTGCCATTGTAGCTCAGATCTCTTCAAGCCATTCCACTTTAAAAATGTGGTTGCTCCAGCAAGACACTCTCTCAGCTATTCAGTCAGCCCTCCCTATGGTCCCACATTTGTAGAGTCAACCAATGGTGGATCAGAAAGATTCTAAACGCAACTAGTCAATCAATAAGAACAATACAACAGTTAAAATAATACAAATATACAAATACGAAACAAAACAGAGGCTAGCTGAAGGCCTGGTGATTAAGGCACCTAGAATCCCTGTGACTGACCATGTGATTTGAGTCCCTGACTTCAAAATTATTCTGAGCACAAGAAGAGATGGCAGCATGGCCATCACATGGCCATCACATGATGTGGGGAGTGATTTCTCACTTTGTCTCTCAGGTGAGCACACATGTCCTGTAGCAAAAATCTCTCTTAAAAAAAAAAAAAAAAAAAAAAAAAAGGCTGGGAATGTATACATGGGTCCCCAAAATCCCAGGAGGAGGGAGAGATGGAGGAGAAGGGATTGAGGCATGACCATCCACCAGGGGGCGTGCTTTCTCACTTTTCTCTTTCTCTCCAGGTGAGTGCACATTGCCTTTGATAAATGGGGGGGGGATAAGTAAAAAAAGTATAAGAACGATTTGTATGGTATTTAGGTATTATAAGCAATCTAGAGATGAGCTGAAGTATCAGGAAACAGTGTAGAGATGACGGGAAAGTACGATGTCATTTTGCATAAGGGACTTGCCCATCCCAGATTTTGACTTGCACGAGGAGTCCCCACAGTGCCGAGGGATGACCGTGTCCAACTCTCAGAACGAAGCTAGTGAACAACGGTTTTAAAATCATGTCGGCCAGATAGATTTCCTCCCTGTGTTTTACTTCCTAATGGGTGTGATTTGTAGGGAGTGTGGCTTACGGTCCCAGTGAGTTTGTGGGAGTGTGGCTTACGGTCCCAGTGAGTTTGTGGGAACCTCTCCGGGCATGCTGTGGTCTGGCAACTTCTGTCAGCCTGAGGAGGAGGTGGCTCAGCCGCTGGGCCGCCCAGCTTCCCTGGCTTTGTCTTACTTTCCTGTTTATCATCCGTTTTGTTTCCCAAGTTAAAGGCCAAAACCAACACAGGTGGAGCGTGTACACACACCGTGTACACACACACTTTCTAGTTACTAGTCTATAACTATTATTTGACAGAGACTTAATGTCTTTGTAGGCTCTCCTCCCTCTTCCTTCAAACTATTAAAAGAAGTAGCAAAATTAAAGAGTAGCTTCAGCACATAATTCACAGCCTAAGTAGTGAGAACTCCAAATCATGGCAGGGAAATCACTTGAATTCATTCTGTGACCTAAAATCAAACTGATTACCTGTTTCAGATGTTGACTTCAAAGCAGAGAGTGAAATAGTATATTTCTAGAATATTTTCTTTAATTTTTGATTACTGTGCTCTAAAAATCTCTCTTTTTAAAATCTCTTGCTTATCACTATGACTGGAGCTAAAGGGTAATTTCTAGATATCATCTAACAATTTTCGAGTAAAAACTACTGCTCTCTTTCCATCTTCCCACCATCCTTACTGTGAGGTCCAGGGTTGCTTTTTTTCTAGAGTTTAGGGCGAAATAAGAGAAGGAATACTGACTCATTGAAGTCTGTACTTATTGAAAACCTTTTTCACTGAAAATGTTTGCTTATTGCCAAGGTTAACATAAAATATTTCAAAGTATATATTTTTTAACCAGTGAATACTGGGAAGTATTCTGTATACTTAAATTTTTTTTAAAGAATGCAGCCAGCAGGTGGTGTGGTGATTAAGGGCACTGGACTCCCACATGGCTGACCACAGCTTGAGCCTCAGACCTGGAAGCTTGCTTTCTCACTTTTCTTCTCTCTCTCTCTTTCTCTCTCTCTCTCTCTCTCTGGTCAAATTAAAATACATAAATAAATAAATAAATAAATAAATAAAGTTAAATAAAATGTTTCTTAAAAAATAATTATTTATTTATTTAATTCCATGTATAATTGTTGTTTTTTAATTTGACCAAAGAGAGAGAGACAGAAACAGAGAAAGTGAGAAAAGAAGCCGCCAGGTCCAGCACTCGAACCACATTTGACCATGTGGGAATCCAGCACCTTTAACCCCCACACCACCTGCAGGCTCTGTTCTGTATACTTATATAAACATTTTCTAACTTCCGTGTCAGAAGCTGGGTGGCCCAGCCCGTCAGTCTATTTATGTGCAGGCTCTATGCTTGTGCAGTTATTGCAGATAATGCAATACCTGGGATGGGGAGTTATATATTATATTCACTGGAATACCCACAACACGATTTATACAGGTTGCTTTATCATTTTTTTTAATATTTTTTATTTCATTTTCTTTTATACATCCAATCACATTATTATTTGGCTTACAAAATGGATATTTCAACCAGGTGAATATTTCTCCCTAGTCCAGTTGATAAAACTACAAAATATCTTCAACAGATAGTACCACATTTCTTTGTGCCATTAATGCTTTGCCTCCATATTTTTCTTCTAAATGTCCTTCCTCAGACCCTCCTCTTTCACACACACTATATCTGATATTTACTTATACCCAAATAAAGGTTTCGATACTCATGCTTCACTTAGTCATTTTCTACCTTTCATCTCTTCAATACATACACATGCCAGACACAGGGACTCAAATGTGAACAGCACATTTCTTCTCAGGGAGTTTACATTTTAGGTGAAGAGTAAACAAAATGTTTCCAAATTCTATTTATCATGCGTCTTTCCTTTGCCATTCTATTACCGATGAAAGGTAAAATCTTGCTTTTAGAGGCCAAGAGCCATCCTAGCCTTTATCTTGCATGAGTTGCTACAAAGAGGCACCCATGATACACATGGGATGGGATGTTACAAAAGCTGGTCTAGCTGGCCTTGTATTTTCATCAGAATCTTTGACCTAGTAGATGAATTTCTTTAGCCTGTAACACTCAACTATTCTTTCATACTATTTACCTATTAAAGAATTTCTGTATCTTGGGACCAGCAGTTGGCATAATGACTATGTTGCTGGACTCCCATGTAGTCAACCATGGTTCGAGTCCCAGACCCGGTGACTTAAACTCATGCCGGGCACGTATGAGTGCATACCCAAGATCCCGAGAGGAGAATGGAGGAGAAGGGATTGTGGCGTGGCCATCCCCCCTGGGGATGATTTCTCACTTTCTGTCTTTCTCTGTCTTTCTATCTAGTGCATGCGCCCTATAGTAAAAACTCTCCAGAAAAAAAAAAAAAAGAAAAAGAAAAAATTTCTGTGTCTCAATGAAGGAAATTTATTAGCTGAAAATAACTTTATATAAAATCTTCAAATTGACATACAATTAATTTAATCAGTTTTCCAAAAGCATATACTGGGTTCTTGGAAAAGTTATTTTTGTATGGAAAAAATACATCATGACTTTTCCAACAACCCAGTATTTACATGGAAAAAAATGGAAAAGTCAGTCAATGATCATCTTCATATCACAAGATAGAGATTTTACTATTATTTTATACGGCTAGTTCCATATTTTTCTCAGATATTTTCCAAAACATGACTGCTCTCTCCTGCTTCAAATTGCTTTCCTATCTTCATAGTCTTTCATAAATTATAAATAAAGTATAAATTCCTAACGTGTTAAGTCATTTTAATTCTACCTCCATTTTGAAATCCACAGAAACAAAATAATGAAGCAAAAGGGTCAGGGAAAGA